AATTTTATTCAATTTTCAGAACACCTCAAAATTCAAAGACATTTCGGGAAAAGAACGATTATGATGACTTGTTTACAACATTTCACTCAATTTTCAGAGCACTTCAAAATTCAAAGACATTTCAGGCAAAAGAACGATTATGATATTCATTAACAATCTAAGGAACAAGATGAAAAATCTTTAAATATATGTTTGCAAAAGAATTTATAAAAATACACACAACAGATAATGCAGAACCAGATTGAAAAAAGTACTTGTTTATTCAAAAGGATATAAGACACAAATTAGAAAAAATAAATGGAAGATTTGGAGAACATAACAAAATTAAAACAGAGCGTCGAAACAGAGACTTTCTTTATTTTAAAAAGAATTTAAATAAAATCTTTTACAGATAGATAAGAAATATCTAAACAGCGCAGAAATTTGTTTTCTTTCCTTCATTTAGGAAGATGTTGTTGTGTTAGATAGTGAGATCAAAGGAAATAAAACTGCAATAGAAAAAAAGTGATTAATTACAAACTGTATTTAACTGAAATAATTAAATTTAATCAGTAATTGTTTCAATGAAATGTAAAACACATTGAAGTGACACAAAGAACGTGTGATAATTGAAGTATTAATTACAAAAAGAAGTTCTTAATGTAAATCTAATTAATGGATGCGTGTTTTGTTAAAAATTTTTTTGTTACTTATTTTAACATTTTTTCTAAATGAATGATTATTGACTGATTTAGTTCTCAAGGGAAATAGGAAAGTAAAATAAAAAAAAAAGTTCTCTTAACCCTTTCATGGGCTATTTTCTTCTAGTAACGGTATAACAAAATAATTTTGGGATTGAAATTAATTTAAGAAAATAAAATCATTTATCTTATTGGATAAATTATTTTAATTACTTTTATTAATTAATAAATAATTAGCAATTGAAGACACATTGTTATGATTTGAAATAAGAAATTAGAACGTCTAGGGTTTTATTTTATCGAAAAATTTATCTAGAACTAAAGGCAACCTTCTTTTAGCGTTTGATGATGGCATATTACTATCTGAAAATAATAATGATATTAATAATTAATTTGATTGTTAAAATAACATTATATGATCAAAATTTTTAGTGATATTTTTTGTGATTTCTGAAGTTATGAAGAGGTAGCACCTCATTTTAGATGTGGTAAAATAACTTACTATGGGCATTTAAAAAGTGGTGAATTTGGTGGAAAGTGTACTTCCCACATCTTTAGAATGGGTTGAGAAGTCTCTTGGAATTAAAATAATCCCTCTTATTCAATCAATTCTAACACAAATGTTGGAAGAGTTTTGCGATATAGCTAGAGGACGCATAAAATGCCTTTCTTCCAACTTGTGTGTGTGTGTGTGTGTGTGTGTGTGGTTTTTACAATATTTATCCTTCACAATATTATTAAATACCAAAAATGCTTTCAAGTTGCAAATTAAAATTTTTCGAGACGGGTGAAAATTTCAATAGGGTTCGAAGACATTGAATTGTATTTCCAACATTATATAAAGTACGATGACATCTTGCTCCAGAACAACGCGTTTATTTACGACTCACACGACTGAGAGACATTTTTAACATAAAAGTTTTACGCACTATATCAACAACATCACACAACTTAATTAATATCGGATTCTCATAAACATGTTTTCGTTGCCAGGTGACGTTTACAGAAACAAAACTGTGGCGTTGCCATTCTATTTCAATCACTTTTTCATAAATGCTCGTGCCAAAAGATTTTCGTATTATATTCATATCTTTTAAAAAATATTTTTCAGAATGGATAATTTTAAGAAATGTTTTTATTGTTTACACAATATACAGAATGAAAATTTTGATACTGTCTTGATAAACGGAGCCCTCAGGAATCTAATAGCCTAGTATTGAATTACTAGGCTATTATTATTATTACTGGAAATCTAATAATCTAGTATTCTTTTCTTCTTTAGAAGTGACGGGTTTCATGACCTCGAGGTACACTGGCTTCTATTCTAGTATTTCCTCCATTTCAGCTTCCACTTTAAGCTTTCTCTTTGTAGACGGCAAGCAAGGCTCCATGAGAGACTGTTGCCGCTATGTTTTCTTCTTGCTTCTCATGGACAGGCAAAACCCCCACGTGTTGGCCATGCATGGTGAGTGGTGACCCTATCGACAAGTAATGCACTGTTGGTCTCCGGTGTATCAAGTGGCTGGTAACTAACCGCCAAAGTGATTAGCCTGCAAGGGACAAAGCAAATTAATTACTTTCTAGGGATTGTCGTTCCTGTAAGTGGCTCGGGTGTGGTGGCTTATTGGTAAAGTTTCGGCCTCGGAAGCGGAGGTTCGCAGTTTCGAATCTCTATTCCGCTGAAGATCCGTCATGTATGGGACCTGTTGCACGTTAAATTATAAGCAGGATGTCAAATGTCCTCCTTTTGATGTGGTGCGGAGTTTTGGAGAGGGTGTGCCAGATCAGGTGTCGTCCTTGTCATCTGACTACGGTCCAAAGTTACGAGATCCGGTCCAAAATAACCTTCATGTTGCTTCACAATGGAACATTAATATATCTAACTACCTAACCTGGAAGTGGCTCTGAGAGTTCAGAGAAATATACAAGAGAATACACGGAATTCTATGTAAGGCTACATAGAAATCCCACTGGTCTAAAACCTTCAATAATGGATGGCATTTCTGGTTAGCATTCAATATCTCTGAAGCTCAAATATTTGATAATAGAAGATACCACTAGAATGCATTACCAGATTATACTCCGTGGTTCTTATAGAAATAGAAGATATTTCGGAATTCTATGTAAGGTGTGGAACTGGTCTCAACTCTTCGGGTAACATTGCTGGCTTGATAATGCTATCAATATTCATGAATTTGGCGAAAATTCTTGATTAAGAGACGAAAACAATGGCCAGCCTTAAAAATGTCAATTACTTTTCATCCCTGTCGATCGTCCATTTGGTAATGACAGTTCATTTTCCGTCCTGCGACCTATTAAAATTTGACTATGACATTTGAATAACAATGCATAAGCAGCAATTGTTAACAACATCTTACTATAGGTAAAATGAATGAAAAATGTTTGAGTGTAATAAAAGCTTCTAAAAAGTCCTGAATTGCTTTCTCCAAAAGGAGGTTACATAATATTTTTCGATGCTCAGATAGTGTGCAATATTTATTGGTAATAGTGGAGGCTAGAAATTTTGTCGGGATAATTTTTATTAGCAATAAAAAAATTTCAAAATTAAAAAAATACTATATCTCTCTTTTGAAGGCCCAACTCTTGATTAAAATGGAGTTCTAATTTTTAAAATTTAGTCCTTAGTGTTATTCCCTTGCAATTTATGTACTGTTTTAGAGAAAAATTCTAAGTATTGGAACTTTAACAATGCATCTTCCGTGACTGATAAAAATTTTATATTTAACTAACTGATGACCCGCTGTGAGCTAGCTGATCTCCTTTGAATTCGTTCTAATGGAGTTAAAACTTTCAAATCTAGCCTTATTATTACCTTATAACAATATGGTTTGAATAAAAAGGCGAGAAGGTTGATAAAGCAACATTTTCATTAAATTTTTGAACAATATACCATTAACCCCAGTATCACAAAGATATTGTACAACATTCACAATATTGTATAATATTATACAATACCATATAATATTATATAATATAGAAAAATATTGCACAATATCGTTCAATATGTTGTGCTCCCTGGGAAATAACTCATGGAAATCAAAATCATTCAAAGAAAGTAAAAAATTAAGAAAAATACTCTGAGAGAATCAAGTTGAACAAGCAAGGAATCCATTCTCGTCCACTTTGTCAAGGGCTAAGGACTAAATTTGAAATGGATTTAAAATATTTGGGAACTTTTGGTGTAAGAAGCTAGCATTACGCCAAAAATAACTTCTCTTACCCCGAAATTTCCCAACAAAAGACAAAGAAGATCAGTACAATCTAATAAGCATTATTTTAAAGCATTATAAAAGAAAAAGGAAAACTAAACACAAACATAAAAACTCTAATAAGATTGAAATAAAAATATTAGCCATCGGGTTGAATAAGAAACAAACATACCACACGCTTAGAAGAGAGATAAAATGTCCTCACTTTTATTACAAACAAACGCGAAGTTCCCGCCTAAATAAGTAATTCCTCTTTTTTTCTTTGTAAAGAAAGACTAGAACCATGGCGCCATCTGTATTCGAAAAAGAAAAAGAAAAGCAGAACAGGTGGAGAAATAAGAAGGGTAGGGAATCAAATCATTTACACAAATTAATAAAAAAAACCCTTAGTTTCCTCCTATTAAATAACTAATAATAAATTAAATCTCATACAACTTTACCATGCACAATAATACTATACAGAATTTACCCGGCGTTCCTGACTAAAAATCTAAAATTTAAATTCTTTAGGATGAACAAAACGTTGTCAAAAATGAACGTTGCAAAATAAAATAGCAAAATAAATAAAAGAGAGAAAATGCAAGAACGATTTTTTCTGATGTTTGATAAATTATAGTACGATAGCATAATATTTAGGCGCGAATCGTTTGTAGAAGAAAGGCGCTTCCAAAACATTTAAAAAAATCAGGAATTTACACAGCAGCTTCAAATTATTCTAATTAGAACGGGGATATTCTGGACTTTACAATGGTATGCAAATTTTGGTTTTCCAATGAGAATATATGGAGAAAATTCACGGAAAAAGGCAAAAACGTCCGAATTTACAGCTTAACATTAAATAAAAATAAACCTTATTCGAATTTTAAAATATTTTTTACATTGTTAGCTCCCACTTTTGCTAATCTATCACTGTGCCAAATTTGGTCCCAGTATGTCAAACAGTCTGGACGTGCATAGAGAAGAAAAAAGGAACATACATACATGCATATATGCATACATACACAGAAAATAAGCTCTTTTATATACAGGGTGCCCACTGAAGTCTCTTACCACCCTTTTAACTACCGAATGGTTGCAGCTATCTTCATAAAGTGGTGTCTAGGCATGGTAAAGCGACTATGCGCTACTGCATGAAACCACTTACAGCGCCACCTGGTGGAAAACGGTGGGGTTAGCGTTATTATCTCTAAACCGGTATGAGGTAGAGGAAAAAAGTGGATAACAAAGTTGTAGATCATCATCAATTTTGTACAAAAAGACATCTTATGGCCAAAAATGCTAAAATCAGAACGCTTTTTTCAGCTCCGGAACGTACGGTTGCAACATGACGGTGCGCCTGCGCACAAAACATCATCAGTGAAGCACTTCTGGTGAAGGAATTCGGGGAACAAACAATCGGGTATGGTGGTTTCCAAGTTTGGCCTCTACGTTTACCTGATCTGACCTCAATGGACTTTTTCCTGTTGGGATACCTCAAACCAGCAGGTTTATGCGACCCCTGCGCCAACATTGAGGACCTTCAAGGACGCATTACAGATGCTTGTGCCATCGTGACACCCGCTACGCTCACCGTGTGCAACGTAAAGTTCAAAGAAGTGTCCAGATGCGCATTGTAGCTGACGGAGATAAGTTTGAACAACGAAAATAAAGGTATCTTGTCATAACCAGTTGTTTTTCTTTCTTTTTAAGTATATTTTGCCACGTGTCAGTGTAGGAAATCGCGAACAAACAAACACGTATTTTAAGCGTCCTATTCTAAGCATTTACATCCACAAGATGTCTTTTAGTATTAAATCGATGATGCTCTACAACTTTGTATTTCACTCTTTTCCTCTATCTCGTACCTTTTCAGAGATAATAACATTTACTCCACCGTTTTCCACCAGGTGGCGCTGTAAATGGTTTCATCTAGTAGCGCATAGTCACTTTACCCACCACGCTTATGAAGATAGCTGCAACCATTCGGTATTTAAAAGATTGGTAAAGGACTTTGGTGGGCACCCTGCATATAGATTGTCTAATATGGTCAGCAGTGGATTAAATATTGTTTCGATTCATTTTATATTTTTCCATAAAGCACCCAACATTACTTTGCTAGAGAGATTAAAGATTGTAATTGAATGTTTTCCTATACAAACATTAATAAATTATTTTCTTTTTTGTTATTTAATAACATTATGGAATAACTCCTTTCGAAAATTAGCTGAAGAAGAGGATACATTTTAAAACTTTTCGTAAATAAGATATTCTATGTATTTCTCATTTACTGACTAAAACACTAGAAACAATTAAAAATTCGAATTAATTTCTTCTTAAGCAAAAATGGTGGTAAATTCGAGAGCCATTGTTTGCGCAGAGCTCTTTTTTTTACCTCTCGTGAGAATTAATCACTAATTACAGCGATGTTATTTTCATTTTTAAAGGATTTTTTCTCGTTCAGTAGAGACCTAATTAAGATATAATTGAGATGAGTTGTTTCAAGTTAATTTATAACATGATCGACCTGAGTCTTTTTTTGTTTACTTAGAATATTTGTTTTTAGAATGAAAATCTTGTTCAAACGTGCATATAAGAAACAGGTCTGTTGCAAGGTAAATTTTTAAATAAAAAAAGATTTGGAAATTGGAGAATATTGTTTTCATTATTTAAATCATGTATTTAATTTTAAAAGATATTTTTATTACCTTTGGTTCATATTTCATATGATAACAGTAGATTTAACGGCATATTGCTTACAAAGAAACATGAAAAAGGATTAAATGAACTAATTGCTTGTCTTCGTCAAAAGATTTTATCTTTATATTTTTACATCAGTTTTGTCTGCATTATACATTATTCAAGACTTCGATTAAAGGTAAATAGTTATTTTAATTTACATTCTTATTTTGGAGGGAAATTAGCAATAACTTTTTATATCATTTTTGAAGCAACAAAAAATAAGATGTGTGTTGAGAAATATATAATAAAGCAGAATGTTTTTTTCTAACTAAGCACTTAGATATTCTTAAAAGCAATTTTAGTATGAACATTGAAAATAAACCAGCTTTAAATAACAAAAACTTTCACCAATAAAATTGTTTTTCAGCATCTCGTATGTAAATTTACTTCGAAAAGTTTAAAGCAGGGTTAAAAATAATTTGTAGAAATTTTCTACAGTAAAAGATTATGTATTTCTTTTTTCTATCGAGACCTTTGAAACTTGACTCTTTCAGGCATATTACCTCGCTTCAGTGGATTCCTTGGAAATAAATACCCATCCCAATTCACGGGTCAAAATAATTGCCTGGTCCTCGATATGCATCCTTTGACTATTGTAACTTCAAATTTTTTCAGTTTGTTTCTTGTACTGTCACTTTTCAATTGGTTCTTTCTCTCTGCCTCTAGTTTTTATCATTTCTAGAAGCAATACTTTATCGCCAATCGTTTTTAAAGATATTTTGTCCCGTGTA